GTTTGTATTCTTCCTGGAAATCATTTCCTGCATCCGGGCACTCCCTTTCTCAATCACCTTTCTCTCACTTTACACAGAAAAGCAAGATCCTGAGTTTTCCCAAACTCTTACTGTGAAGTATTATCAGTAGGGGGAGGGGGAGGAAATTCTAGTATGGCAAATAAAGGGACAGTTTAAAATACTGATGAAGATCTTGAGGAAATGAATGATACTCAGGTTGTTTCTAATTATTGTTTTAATAAAATTGAGTTGTAATTAGTAGATCATTAAAAGTAATTTTTTATAATAAACACTGTTTTGAGGCACATAAATTCAGAAGAGCTTAAATAATTGAATATAGGAAATATGTTCTTATAACCAGTAAAAACTGAATATAACAAAACTTCTATTACCATCTGGATTTATGTGCTCAAGAAATCTCTAACTTTATAAAAAAAAATAGAATTTATCTTACATCATTCTAACACAGGTAACAGTAATCCATGGATAGATATATTATTTACAATGAGAAAAAGCTATATTTATCATGTTAAGATACATATTTTGTCAATGAAAAACTAATTAGTCGATCTAAGAAAGAAATGGAAAATTTTACTCAAGCCAAATTTGAGGATTATAACCCAGGAAGAGCATCTTAGAAAGCTCTGAGAACTGTTCTGCTAGTTGGAAATCAGAGGGCTGTACATCAATGACATATGTTGACAGTCTATGTAATCCAGATCTAAGTACCATCCTGATGGGTCATGTGACCCTTAAACGATCAAGAAGGAATGTTATCTTTTAAGGAGTTGTCTTGTTGATGCTAGGAGAATGGTGCTTTTTTGAGCTGAGCAGGTATTTCTCCTGATGAGGGAGTTTTGATCAATGCATAAAGCAGCACACAGAGCACAGTGTGGGAAGAGAAGATCAAAGGGCAGAGAAGAATCTTTTTATGTTTAAAGTTTTCTTGTCTTGCCATAAAATATGAATTTTATTTCACAATTTCCTTCTTTTTTAATTCTTATTTTTTATTGTAGTGTAGTCAGTTTACAATGTTAGTTTCATGTGTACAGTAAAGTGATTCAGTTATATATATACATACATATATATTTTTTAGATTCTTTCCCATTAGAGCCCATTATAAGAAATTGAATATGGTTCCCTGTGCTATATAGTAGGTCCTTGTTGTTTATCTATTTTATATATAGTAGTGTGTATCTATTAATCTCTTAACTCCTAATCCACACCCCTCCCCCCACTCCTTGCCCCCTGGTAACCACAGTTTGTTCTCTATGTCTATATATATTTAGATTTCCATATAAGCAACATCATATGATATTTGTCTTTCTCTGTCTCACTTATTCACTTAATATGATAATCTCTAGGTCCATTCATGTTCCTGAAAATGACATTTTATTCTTTTTATGGCTGAGTAATATTCCATTGTATTACATATGTACCACATCTTCTTTATCCAGTTATCTATCCATGGACATTTAGGTTATTTCCCTGTCTTGGCTATTGTGAATAGTGCTGCTGTGACAAGTGCATGTGTCTTTTTGAAATACAGTTTTTCTCCAGATATATGCCCAGGAGTGGGCTTGCTGGATGGTATGGTAACTCTATTTTTAGTTTTTTAAGGAACCTTCATACTGTTTTTCATAGTGGCTGCACCAGCTCATATTCCTACCAAGTTTCCTTTTTCTCCACACCCTTTCCAGAATTTATCATTTGCAGCCCCTTTAATGATTGCCATTCTGACTGGTGTGAGGTGATAGCTCATTGTAGTTTTGATTTGAATTTCTCTAATAATTAATAACGTTGAGCATCTTTTCATGTGCCTGATGGCCATCTGGATGTCTTCTTTGGAGAAACATCTATTTAGGTCTTTTGCCCATTTTTTAATTGAAGTGCTTGTTTTTTGTTTGTTTTTTGATATTAAACTGTATGAGCTGTTTGTATATTTTGGAAATTAGTCCCTTGTCAGAAGCATCATTGGCAAATATTTTGTCCCATTCTGTAGATTCTCTTTTCATTTTGCTTATGGTATCCTTAGATGTGCAAAAGCTTTTAAGTATAACTAAGTCCCATTTGTTTATTTTTGCTTTTAATTCCAGTATAGAAGTATAAAAAATATTGCTGGCAATTTATGTCAGAGTGTCCTGCCTATGTTTTCCTATAGGAATTTTATAGTATCTGGTCTTACATTTAGGTCTTTAATCCATTTTGAGTTTATTTTTGTATATGGTGTTAGAGACTGTTCTAATTTTATTCTTTTACATGTAGCTGTCCAGTTTCCCCAGCACCATTTATTGAAGAGACTGCCTTTTCTGCATTGTATATTCTTGTCTCTGTTGTCAGATTAATTGACCATTAGTGTGTGGATTTATTTCTGGACTTTCTATCCTGTTCCTTTGATCTATGTATCTGGTTTTGTGCCAGTACCACACTGCTTTGATTACTGTAGCTTTGTAGTATAGTCTGAAGCCAGAGAGTGTGATTCCTCCAGCTTTGTTGTTCTTTCTCAAGATTGTTTTGGCTATATGGGGTCTTTTGTGTTTCCATACAAATTTTAACATTTTTTGTTTCAGCTCTGTGAAAAATGTCATTGGTAATTTGATATAGATTGCACTGAATCTGTATATTGCTTTGGGTAGTAACAATTTTAACAAAATTGATTCTTCAAATTTAAGAACACAGTATATCTTTCCATCTATTTGTGTCATCTTCAATTTCTTTCATCAGTGTCTTATAGTTTTCAGAGTATAGGTCTTTTGCTTCCTTAGGTAGGTTTATTCCTAAGTATCAAATTTGATGCAGTGGGAAATGGGAGTTTTTCCTTAATTTTTTTCTGATATTTTGTCATTCATGTATAGAAATGCAACTGATTTCTGTATGTTAATTTTGTATCCTCCAACTTTGCTGAATTCACTGATGAGCTCTAGTAGTTTTCTGGTAGCTGGTACAGTCTTTGGGATTTTCTATGTATAGTATTGTGTCATCTGCAAATGGTGACAGTTTTACTTCTTTTTTTCCAATTTGGATTCCTTTTATTTCTTTTTCTCATCTGATTTTTTTGACTAAGACTTCCAAGATTATATTAAATGAAAGTGGCAAGAGTGGGCATCTTTGTCTTGTTCCTGATCTTAGAGGAAATGCTTTCAGCTTTTCACCATTGAGTGTGATGTTAGATGTCAGTTTGTCATATATGACCTTTATAATATTGAGGTATGTTCCCTCTATGCCCACTCTCTGGAGAGTTTTTAGCATAAATGGATGTGAAATTTTATCAAAAGCTTTTTCTGCATCTATTGAGATGACCATATGGTTTTTATTCTTCAGTGTGCTAATGTGGTGTATCACACTGATTGATTTGCAGATATTGAAAAATCCTTGCGTGTCTGGGATGAGTCCTACTTGATTATGGTGTATGATCTTTTAAATGCATTGTTGGAGTTGATTTGCTACTATTTTGTTGAGGATTTTTGCATCTATATTCATAAATGATATTGGACTTTAATTTTATTTAATTGTGATATCTTTTTATGGTTTTGGTATTAGGGTGATGGTGGCCTCATAGAATGAGTTCAGAAGTGTTCTTTCCTCTGCAAGTTTTTGGGATAGTTTCAGAAGGATAGATGTTAACTCTTCTCTAAATGTTTCGTAGAATTCACCTGTGAAGCCATCAGGTCCTGGACTTTTGTTTGTTGGGAGTTCTTAAATTATTGATTCAATTTCAGTGCTGGTAATTTGTCTATTCATATTTTCTATTTCTCCCTGGTTCAGTCTTGGAAGATTGTACCTTTATAAGAAATTATCCATTTCTTCTAGGTTGTCTTATTTTGTTGACATGCAGTTGCTCATATTAGCCTCTTATGATCCCTTGTATTTCTGTGTTGTCAGCTTAACTTCTTTTTCATTTCTGATTTTATTAATTGGGGCCCTAACCCCTTTTTTCTTGAATCTGCCTAATGGTTTATCAATTTTGGTTATCTTTTCAAAGAACCACCTCTTAGTTTCATTGGTCTTTCTTATTTTTTTTAATTCTCTATTTCATTTATTTCTGCTCTAATCTTTATGATTTCTTTCCTTCTACTAACTTTAGGCATTGTTTGTTCTTTCTCTAATTGCCTTAGGTGTAAGGTTAGATTGTTTATTTAAGATCGTTCTTGTTTCCTGAGGTAAGCTTGAATTGCTATTAACTTCCTTCTTGAAACTGCTTTTGCCATGTCCCAGAGGTTCTGGATTGTCGTGTTTTTGTTTTCATTTGTCTCTAATCATTTTTTGATTTCCTTTTAAATTTCTTCAGTGTTTCATTGGTTGTTTAGTAGCATATTGTTTAGCCTCCATATGTTTGTGGTTTTTGAAGTTTTTTTCCTGTAGTTGATTTCTAATCTCGTAGCATTGTGGTTAAAAAGATGCTTGATAGGATTTCACTTTTATTCAATTTACCAAGGCTTGCTTTGTGGGCCAGCATGTGATCTATCCTGAAGAATGTTCCATGTGCACTTGAGAAGTATGTGTATTATGCCGCTTTCAGATGGAATGCTCTATAAATATGTCAATCTGATCTGATGTGTCATTTAAGTCTTCTACTACCTTACTGATTTTCTGTCTGAATGATCTGTCCATAGATGTCAGAGAGGTGTTGAGGTTCTTCACTATTATTGTGTTACTGTGAATTTCTCTTTTTATGTCTGTTAATAGTTTGCCTTGTATATTGAGGTTTCCTATCTTGGGTGCATATATACTCATAATTGTGATATCTTCTTGAATTGATCCTTTGCTCATTATGTAGTATCCTTCTTTGTCTCTTGTACCCATCTTTATTTTAAAATCTACTTTGTATGATATAAGTATTGCTACTCCAGCTTTCTTTTGGTTTCCACTTGCATGGAATAGCTTTTTCCATCCCCTCACTTTCAGCCTGTATGTCTCTAGCACTTAAATGGGTCTCTTGTAGACAGCATATACACGTCTTGATTTTGTATCCATTCAGCCAGTCTATGTCTTTTGGTTAGAGCATTTAATCCATTTACACTTACATCAGTTGCTGATCTCTTAATTTCAGATGCATTTTACATATCCTCATTGGTGCTCTCCTCCCGTCACAATTACTGGTTTTGATATCATATTTTACATCTAATTGTTTTTTGTATCTTTAACTACTTATTGTGGATACAGATGATTTTACTACTTTTGTCTTTTAACTTCCCTATTAGTTTGTGTGTGGATGATTTCCTACCTTTACTGTATATTTGCCTTTCGTGATGAGTGTTCCCATTTTGTAATTTTCTTGTTTCTAGTTGTGGCCTTATCTTTTCTACCTGGAGAATTTCCTTTAGCATATGTTGTAAAGCTGGTTTGGTGGTGCTGAATTCTTTTAGCTTTTGTTTATCTGTGAAGCTTTTGATTTCTCCATCAAATCTGAATGAGAGCCTTGTTAGGTAAAGTATTCTTGGTTGTGGGTTTTTCCCTTTCATCACTTAAATATATCATGCCACTCTATTCTGGTCTGCAGAGCTTCTGTTGAAAAAGCAGCCGATAACCTTATGGAAGTTTCCTTGTATGTTGTTGTTGCTTTTCTCTTGATGCTTTTAATATTTTCTTCTTATCTTTAATTTTTTTCAGTTTGATTTCAGTGTGCCTCGGCTTATTCCTCTTTGGGTTAATCCTGTATGGGACTCTCTGTGCTTCCTGGACTTGGGTAACTATTTCCTTTCCCAGGTTAGGGAAGTTTTCAGCTATTACCTCTTCAAATATTTTCTCAGACATTTTCTCTCTCTCGTCTCCTTCTGGGACCCCTATAATGCAAATATCAGTGCACTTGCTGTTGTCCAGGGGGTTCTTAAACAATCCTCATTTCTTTTCATTCTTTTTTCTCTTTTCTGTTCTTTCTACTACTCTATCTTCGAACTCACTGATCCACTCTATTGCTTCATTTAGTCTATTCTTGGTTCCTTCTAGTGTATTATTTACCATCACTTTGGTCAGTTTGGGTCACTTGTGGAACCCTCTTTGACTTTATTTCCATAGCTGAGTCAGATACAGCTGAGAAAGGTCAAAACCAAGAGAGACATTTGTTTTAGTGACTCTTGCTGCATCACTCCAGAGTTTCTCTTTGGCAGAAAATTTAACACAGTAACTGCACCAATGGGCCAGGGCTGACTTTAGAGCTTTTATTTATTTATTGACCTGCTATAATTCACATGCCATTTTCCAGTCCACATTTTCTTTTATGAGTAAATATGTCTCCAGTGGAATTTCCTGGGGACTGTCAGGCATTATTCCTTCTAGATATTTTGGCTTTTAAAGTATTCTGTTCATTCCAGATACTCTGTAAGTTATTGCCAGTGGAGAATGTATCACTTCTGTTCTGTCTGCCCCTCCCTGCCCTGTGCCATGATATGCTATCCCACTTTCTCTTCTTGCAGGGATTGTCTCCATTATCAGCCTAACTGTGCTGGCCTATGAATGTTATATTCATGTGGTTCATGCCAGAATGATCACTTTTTCCTGGACCTGGAGGGCCGTTACCTACATCTGGCTGTACACACTGGTGTGGTCAGGAGTGCCTCTCATGGGCTGAAACAGGTACATCCTGTTTCATGGACTAGGATGTGCTGTAGACTGGAAATCCAAGATGCCAATGACTTCTGCTTTGTGCTTTTCTTATTTCTTGGCTCCCTGGTGGTGCCTGTGGGTGTCATTGCTCATTGCTATGGCCATATTCTGTATTCCATTGAGTTGAAGTGAAGGGTGAGTTGAAGACTATGAATGCTCCTGCCCCAAACCATGCAGGGTAGAAAATTTCATGTGGAAGAGAATCATACTCTTTCCTACAGCTGGCGCAGTTCTCAGGGACTTCCCACTTGATAAAAGTTTGCACTATAAGTCACTTTCTGAGAAGATCATTGAGGAGTAACATTTACTCTTTATATATCACTCTCTAAACCACAAGAAGGAAGGAAAGGGGTTCTGGACAGACAAAAATAAGCAATAACCAAAAGAAAAAAACCCTACATTCTCCAGCATTCTTAGAATTTAAGAACTCTAGTAAAGGGAATTCCACACTTCCCATAATTTTATTCATCCAAAGTTCACATAAACCCACTAGAGAGTGGTACAGACATTTTGTCTGGAAATCACTTTTGAGTCATAAATGACAAGAGCTGACCACAGCAGGTTTGCTTTTAGGTGCTAGCAAGAAAGACATCTGGAGTTACAGACTGTGGGGCATACTCCACATCCCAATCTCTAACTTCAACCGTGTACATTTTCCTTACTCATTCACTACTTCTTCCTACTCTGTTCTCTTCTCTCATCAAAATCCTCCAGTCTCTTGCTCACTCTGCCAAACCCCTCTAGCTTTCATCCCGTTTAAATCACTTAGCCACATGCATCATTTTAAATCATGACCTATTACTCTCAACTTTCATGTTCCAACTTTCTTCATATACATCTATTTTGAAAAAACAAGCAAACAAATCCCTGGTTTAATCCAACTATTTGTATTCTCCATGCTGTAATCAAACTACAGAAAGGGGCTGGAGAAAAACCACACTGGATTCCCACTGTCCACACTCAGCGGTGAGGTGTCCTCAGTCCTCATCATCATCTCTTGCCCTCCTATTCCTCCTCATTCTTATCAAACAATCAAGCCTCTTATTTATTACACAAGACAAGGCAACTATCAAATTTCTCAACTCCCCGCCTCCCTTTATACAAACCTCTATGTTCACACTCGTTCTTAGACTCCTCTTTTCAGTTGCAAGGTAATGAGAGAGGTCTCTCAAGACCAAGCTGATCCTAGATTCCTGTTTTCATCCCCACCCCATTCTCTGCCTCAGGGACCTCCCTCAAGTAATAATTTTCTCTTTCACATATATCTTCAATCTCTCCCTCACTACTGGCTCTTTACCTTTAGCATATAACCATGTTAGCTTAATTCAAAAGCAGAATATACTCTCAACTCTCAGTAGTTATCTCTTTAATTACATAACATTTATTCCTCAACCCATTGCAAATTGGTGATTCCTTCTTCTACCACACTCTCACAGAAGCAGCCCTCATTAAGGTCACTAATGATCTCCCAAATGTTAGAGCCAATGAACACATTCTATTTCTTTTTTTTTTTTCCTGGCATCTGTAGCATTGAGACTTCTGACATTGTTGACAGCTTCCATTTAATTGTAATTTTTCTGCTCCCAAATTTTCTAAGACCTCATTCTCTTCTATCTTTGTTGCTGACTCTCTGGCCCCATCTTCTAAAGTCTCCTTCAAGGGCTTCTTTTCCTTGGGCCTCCCCAACACTATGCTCAGCTCTCGTCTCATACTACACAATAGACATGGATGATCTCAGTTAACTCTAATAAGTTAATCATTTTAACCTCCTTTAATCTTTACTCTTAGAGAAGGTAATTGACTTGCTCAACATCACACAAGGAGCAAAAGTGGCGAATCTAGGATATGAACCCAGATCCTCTAATTCCAAACCTAGAGCTCTTACTAGGACTCCACAACCTTCTTAAAAACTCTAAGGAAAAACTCCCATCCCCTCAAAAACGCTGATCTGAAAATAGATTGATATTCTATCGCATTAAATAAAATTGCTTCTTTTAAAATATAATGGCACACATAGATAATAATAGTACCAGGAATTTAACAGTCACTACCACACATTTCCTCTACTCTAAAAAAAAAAAAAATCAACCATTTTACTTGTTCATGTTTTCTTCCATTCCTTGTCAATATGAATACAGAATTCTAAATAAATAATCTCAAAAATATCAATAATTTAGATATATAAATTTAAATATATTTTAAAATACTATAAGCACATGTTTTAACAGATTTTCTTTGGAAAATTTTTTCTTAACCTTTATGATATTTCTAGAAATAAAAGAAGCACTTAAAGTTTGTTGAAATGCAATAAATTTCCAAGTTTAAAGTTATACACTAAGTATTAGTGGTATGCCAGTGATTTTATATCAATATATAAAGCAATTGTATGTTTGTAGCAAAATTAGCTTCTTAGTACATCAGAAACAACCATTTTATTTAAGAAAATACTTTTGATATACAGGAATATTCTCCCCTTCATCTTAAAACACATTTATAATAATAATAGGAGGAATTTCTAAAGAACTTTTTATCTGAGAAACTCAAAGAACTTTCAGCCTATAGGCTATTATTCATAAATATCTTTAATGGGGACAAACTAGGCATAGACATGCTGATTTTAGAGAAATGGGGTTACTTGGGTTTTACCAAGCATTCTCCTTTATAGCTGAGCCCCTGATGAAACCAGCCACGAACAAATTCCTCATCAAACTGCACTTTATAGTCATTTGCTCTAAAGTGGAAGCCACAGTAGTTGCCATTAAGAATTCATTTGGGAATTATGTTTTCATCAAGACCAGCTGTAGGCTTTATTTACCATGTAAAACTCCTGGCATCACATGTTTGCTGCCTGGTTTGAGAATCTGAGGATTTTGCTATGGATAAAAGAGATTCCAGGATCATGGAGAAATTATTTCCAATTTATCATGACTCTTTTAGGATGTCCTTTAGCAACTTGAAGATCTAGATAAAATAACTCATTTTATTCTTCTTTAGGCAAATTAGAAAACATTAAAAACCATTGAAAGATCTAAGAGACTATGTAGTTCAATGTAATATGTTAAGATGAGGGGACTGAGGCCCAGAGAGGTTAAGGGCTGGGCCCAGCTGCAGGTCCTGGATCAGATGTCAGCCTCCCAAGGTCCTATTCATTTCTCTTTCTGTTAGGGTAGGGCCAAGAATGGTATCTGAATATCTATTATGAAAACAATGAACAAAAATGATTTTTACATTTTCAACCCTTTCTTTTCCTTTTCCTTTCTGTGGCTTCGTGGCGTTGAAGATCTTCAGACAATAAAAGTGATAAGGATTTTAAGATATGAAAATAAACTGGCCAGAATGTGCTTTTGTATGACATTCACCTTTATGATCCTTTGGATGCCTTATGTTGTGATTTGTTTCTTGATGTTTAGTGATGGTGGACACTTGGTCACTCTAACAGTATTTATTGTTTCATAACCCTTCACTAATTCCAGCACTGTGTATGATGCAGCTTTTTATATCTTCATGATCAGAAAGGTAAGCTTTGTACTTAACCAATCATTTCCACCATGTGGGTGGGGTTGTTGGAAAATACAATACTTTTACAGACTTTATTCAGAGCAGTTTTGATGATAAAAACCTAAATCAGGCATTTTACAGGAAAGTAAAGGGTTCAGGAAGAAATGTGGATGTTTCCAGATAAAACAATAAAAATCCTAAGACCTGCCAATGGAGGTCACAGTTGTTAGGTAAAATTCCATGAAAATCAACATTTTATTCATCAGAAAATATTTTATGTCTAGTAATAATAACAACTACAGTCAAAGTTAATTTATTTAAAAGTCTTACTGCACTATGCAGATTACATCCATTATCTTTAATAAACTTCATAAAATAGGCAGTAATATTATTCCTTATTTTATTTATGGATTATGAGAGGTTCAGAGAAGTTAAAGCACTTGTTTGGTCCGGGACATGTTGATGCCTGGATTTGAACCTGGTTTGCTTGAATTCCAAAGGCCCACGCTCGTAACTTCTCATCACTTGGGGTTATGGGTACCATTAGCAATTCGTTGGGTTATTATCCACATACCACAGCCAATGTGTAGCTAAAGCCAATTTGCCTCAAGAAACTTCCTCTCTGTCTGTGGGAAGCCTATTAATCTATTTTTGTAGTGAAAAAGTTTCAGCTTTGTGGTCGTCAGTCATGACATGAGAGCGATGGATCTGATACGATTGACATGAAGCTGAGCCTCTAAGTTAAAAGAATTTAAAAGTTATGAGTCATGGTTAATTACAATATTGAAATTTCAAAGTAACAGGTCATATTACTAACAGGCAAAATAACTACTCTGACTTCAAATGCTCAAGAGCTTGAAAGAAGAGGGCATTTTTATATTAACCTGAGAATGTTCAGTGCTAAATCGCCCTCTTTGTTTTTATGCCTTTCATTTCCCTTGAATATTGTTGGCTTATCCTCTCCATAAGCTTACTTTCATTGATAAGTTTCAATATCCTTTCAACTGATGGTCTTTCTTTCCCTTTCATGTTGCCTTCCATTTGTCTATTTCCTTGAACCCAGAGATTTTTAATTTGGAATCCTTAGAATCTGAGAATTACTTGAGTTGGCCTCAGGAGAATCATTGGAAGCCACTGAAATTGTTCATAAAACTTTTTGAGAATATGCATATGAATCTTTCTGGTGAGCCTCAACGGGCTAATAAGTACATTTAATGTTCAAAATCCCTTAAAGAAACATATCTAGCTGCTCTCATGGAAGGTTCATGCAACTTGAATCTAGATATTATAAAGTATTGAAACAGACCTACGTGATAAAGTTAGTAAGAATTATAATAAATAAAAGACATAAAAGTCCAGGCTTAATTAGGTTGATCTGAACAGTACCACCTAACCCCCCAACAGCTAGCAAATGAAAAACAACAATCCTAATTAATCCAAATCCAGATTAAGGGCCAAACTTTTACATTTTTTTTCCATTTAATTTTTGCTTAGTTTCTTGGTAGTCACATGAACCACATGGAACCAGGAAAAGGCCAATGAATTTCAGAATAACTTCTGGGGTTTCCAGAGGAACTAGAACTGCCACACCCCTGCACTGGGGCTTTTCCTAGCACCTGATCACTCAGAAACCTGCTCACCATCATAACCCGTACAGATCAGACTCCCAGCCCCATTCGCCCACGTACTTCTTCCTTTCCTACTGGCCTTTATAGACATCTGTTTCACCTCCACCACTGTTCAGACATGGCAAGTAATTAACAAACAAAGTCACAATCTATGCAGGCTGCACCACCCTGGTGTGTTTTTTCACACTCTTCATGGTTGGATAGTGTTCTGATCTTGATGGCCTGTGACTAGTTTGTGGCCATCTGTCCTCCCTGCACTACATGGTCAATCTGAACCCCCAGCTCTGTGGACCACTGCCAAACTTTTACTTAATATTCAGCTTTATTTTCTTCCTGCCCAGTTTCAAAGGGCCCTTTTGCATCTCCTATGTTTCCGACTGCTCAGATACCAGCAACCTGCTAAAGACCTACCAGAGTTAAATGCAGATTAGACCCATTGAGATGTCACAGAAAGTCAGGGACAGACCAAAGAAAAAAGTGATTTTTAACTCTTCTCCCATCATTTTTATTATCACTCATGATGGCTCACTATCAGTCGATGACAAAGACTAGAACCAGTGGGTCAAAGGTTGATGTAATCCAAATTCGCCCTTTATAGGAATGAAAGATAGGGCTTTAAATCAAGATATCACTTTTAGACTACCATTATAAGATTGTTTTGGAATCCTCATTCTGTGTAATATCAACAGAAGTTTTGTGGTCCAGTAGAAAATCTGAATTGCTCTCAAGTTTTCTTGCCTCTGGGAGGAACTGAGCAGGACAAATTCTTTACTTCAATGGGTGCTTCATATAATGAAAAATCTTTTATGGCCCAAGGTGGGCATCAGGTACCATCAACTTATAACATGCTGAAAATTTTCACTTCAAATAAATATTTTTAAATGTTTGTATTTCCAAGGCAAATAACACATACTTCTCAAAACTTATTTAGCTGTTAAAATAACTTTGTCTCATACACATGTGTGAAATAGCTAGAATATCTTGAATTTTCTGTAGTGTTGGGTCCTATTCAGTATCATGACAAATGTTTGATCAATAAAATTTATCAAAGACAATTCTGGGATGAAAAAGAAAATCAATTTCTTAACTTTATGGGAAACAAAAGACTATTGCTCTATGAGTAATATGATTTTTTAAAAAGGAGCTTCAGACTAATATGCTACTGAGAAAGCTCTAGAAGATACTATTAAACAGCAACACAGAAAAGAAAATAGAATGATTAATTTCAAGGTGATCAAGGTTTACAGGTCATCACTCATTAGCAGCAGAGATACATGGTGAAGCTGGTGCTGATGGCGATAGGTGTCCCCATCTATTTCATTTCAAACATGAACGTGGCAGGATTAGCCTCTCTTCCTAGTAATTTCCTACAATTTTGCCAAGACTTCTGGATTTGGAAAAGGAGTTCCAACAAAAACTGAACAAACTTACATTTGAAGGAGGATGAAAGTAAGTGTAGACTGTATTCACAAAATGTGCTATTTAATCTTGACTGCTCTTCAGTCAATCCCCCAGATAAATAATGGTCAGTGTTAGTAAGGAGGCCATTTTCCTATGAGTCATTATTTAGACTGAACATGGATTATTAGGACCCAAGAATTTCCTTGACAATATAGGAAAGACATAGTGAGTCACTATTTTATTGCCTAATTTTTATTTCTTAGATGATTATTCTACTAGTGTTGCATCTTCATAATTAGTCACGTTTGAAAGATTTCTAAATGATCCAGTTGGCTTATTGAAGAAGGAAGAAACAAACAAAAAAAAAGTTTTCACTAAATGAACTTTTAAAAATCAAGTTTATTGCTAGTTTTTCCACAGCATGTAGTTCGAGAATGTTAGTAAATTGTTTCTGAATAGAATAAAATACGGCTTTATATTGCTATGAAAACTATCTCCCTTTGTTTCTTTTCCACTCTCTTGTGTATATAGATACTTAATTTATAAACAAAACTCTTCTATCCTTCACTTAGTATGGCTATTAAACATTTGAAGAAAATCTTCAGAAAGTAATACTTTCATCTAAAAACTGGGAAATAAAATTGATTCATTTTGAACTCTCTAGAAAGCCCCTCAATTCCTCAATTCCTTGTTTACACTTCCAGTTTTAGCAAGCAGGCCTGAGACTTGTGCTTAGGTGGTTCCATCCAGGTGATGAAAAGTGTAGTTACCATCTTAGGCAAATTGTGACTTTTAGTCCTGGGTGTTAAGTCAGTCCTATTAGGGCTTTAAAGAAAAGCGTGATCAGTGTCTTCTTTGAGGCCTCTATGGCCTTACTTTTTAAGAAGTGAAAGAGATCTTAGTCATTGCACTTTTATATTTAGAATGATCTGACTTAAGCCTAGTGCTGTGGGGAAGCTGCGTTTTGCAACTTAAAGTGGTGGGGTTTTTTTTTCTCAATAATTTCAGTGAACACATAGAAAAATTATACATTGAATTTAATTATAAACTGATAAATATCTTCCATTAGTGAATTAAATAAAATGATGGAAACATGATTTTGATCCTGTTTTGATTACAGAGAATTCAGGTATTTGCTACTGCAGCATCTTTATATCGCTTGCTAATAACATTAGTAATTTGTTCTAGTGACCCCAGGGAATTTGCAGGGAGACACGTCCTGTACTCTAGAAATAAGTGACCCAGTTCCATGGTCTTCTCAGGTATTCCAGGGGCCTTGGTGACATGGAGCGCCTAAGTAGGTAGGTGCCACTGATGGCTATCAGTATTCCAAAGAAAAAGAGTCCTTTGTTTATCATCTGTAAAAAGAGCAAGAACTCTCATTTTATTTGTGCAGAGATTAAAATCTTAAAAAGAGACTTCATTCTTAAAAATGTTGTATACAATTTCCTCGTTGTTCTTTAACCTGAAACAGTGATTTAATTGCATGACCACCAGGTAAAGTCCTGCAATGACTGGTAAGGTCAAGAATTTGGAGTTCCTGCCTCCCTCTCTTCCTCCTCTCTCTCTGTCCCTGGAAACACCTGAATCCATGAGTTCTGGATAAAGAATTCTTAGCATTCAGCCTTTGTCCAGACATTGAAAAAAATCCCACAGTTGAAAAAAAAAAAAAGAACTGTGAACTATGTCTTCAAAGAGAACTGTGCCAAAGCCACAAATGATTCAGTCACTGCTCAGACCTTGCACAAAGTGTCCCTGAAGAACAGTGATGGGCCCAGTGGCCTCTGTGACTCGGAAGGTGCACATTCAAAGACTTTAACTTGCACCTTCACCACCTACAGTCTATGAATGCCATGAGCTGAGGCTCCGTCTAGTCTGGGCTAGGTACACTCCCCTTCTATCCTGGCCTCTCACTGCACTCACTGTCCTGCCTCTTGCTGTCTATTTCCCATTTCCTCTTTGGACTTAAAGATTCTCAAGGGCAGGGACCCTATTTTATTCATTTCTGTATTAATAAATCTTGATTCATCCCAATATATTCTCTACACAGCAAAGTAATCTTTCTAAAATCCACACCTGAGACTATGAGCCTCCTTTGTCTCCCTATTTCCCCTCAAAATAATATTCAAGATGTTTCAAGTCCTGCTTACCATTCCAGCTCTACCTCTAGCCATTCTTACACATATGTGCTTCTTCCAGCTCGCTGACATACTCGCTACTCACATCCTGAATGTGTGAGCGGTTTCTGTAACCTCCACCCGCCGGGGCTATGCCCGTTCTCCTCCGGGGCAGTGCCTCTCCACTGCAGGGGTCTGTTTCTCCCACTAGTCTCTGAGCCACGCAAAGGGTAGGGGCTGCTTCTCGTTCATCACCGTTCCCACCTCAGTGTCTACGTACTGAATAGAACTGTTTATGTAATAAATGAAATTGTAAAATTTCCACAGTGGAAGATCAGGAATCTGAATCTCCATTTCATGACATCTCTGAGCCAACTGCCAAAATTAATGTGCTAGATAGCATTACACTGGAATTAGATTGTTTTATAAGTGATCCACTTTTTATCCAGTTTTATAAATTAAACCCATAAGAGTATTGCATGAAGCAAAAGTCAATTGCTAAATAAAAGTAAACGGTCATGTTGATAAAATAAACCAGAAAGTTTAGAATATTAGCACCAATTTATCTTTTTTTAAATTTCTTCCCGTCAAGAAGTTCTCTTTCTCTCTTTGCCTCGTTTTTTGTAATTTTGTTCATTAGGCTTCTGCTACCTGTATACCCAGGACAGTTTTTATTTGGAAAGCAAGCATTTGGTGTCTGTCACATCATTTTTGTATTTGCCTGAGGTAAATAGAACCATAACACTGTAAACTTCAACACATCAGATTTTTTAAAAAGTGTAATCTGTTCCAACCTTTTTTTGCCAATGCCAACGCAGCAGTGCCTCGTGGTACCTTATTCTGGAAAAGGTGACCTGTAAGGAAGTTTAAAAAATACTCTTGTGTGTTCTTTAATGGCTAAAAATAAGATTAAAGTGAGGAAAAGTCTTAAATCCAGCCCTTACCATGGTATAGAGAGGGATAAAGGTAGATGGAATAATGGCATGAAGAAATCTCTCTATGTTCTTTTGGAAGATGAACCATCTTGAGTTGACGTGTGCTCGCATCTGCAATAACGTGAGAGTCTTAAAGAGAGCCTTGAACAAAGTACCTTTAATTGTTTATAACAACTTACTGTCACTCTTCATCCCCATTCACCACAAAGCCAGACTAGAGTAGTCAAATAAACTCCTATTTCATAATAGTCACTTTCAATCCTCTTCAGTAAGTGTCAAAAGACAATAACTTGGAAAGGTAGAGCAATTATACAAAACCTGTTAGAGAACAATATTTTGCTCAGGGGTCAATATGGGAACACTTTTTCAGCAAGGGTTTGTCCGAATCTGTAAGGAGTCTGTGAGCCCAAAGGTTTGACAAATACCTGTTTCCTGATCAGTTTGGAATATTGTTTATGGCAAGAAGAGATCTGTTTAAAGCTATGCCTCTCTTAACCTATTTCATATTCAGGATAAATATTATGTTCTAGTTGTTTTTAAAGACAAGGCAAGATACATCAGTGGGACTCTCAGTATCTTATAGAGCTTCCTTCACCACAAATGAAACAATTCTGCTCAAGCTGAAGTCTACTTTATTTCTTTCTATCTCCTGGAGAGATGGAAAACAGTTACAGTCTTTTTTCAAAATTTATCTTGTCATTTTTTCATTTGATTATTTTAAAAAAATCTATAACCATAACCATTTACTGTGAGCTTTTCACATGACTGGCTCAAAATGGAATTGTCTTTTTCTTCTGAGTATTAATCACTGACCATGAATTTCTTTGTTATTACATATTTCTTTCAGTGCAAAAATTCCCAAAGGATATTCAATGCTACTTTAAGCTTCCCGCTTATAATGTTAAGAGCAGAAAGGTCATTTAATGTTTCTTAAATTTTTCCAAATATGTTAACTAATATCAAAACTGTATTTTCATTAAAATAGCATATTACTAACTCTTCTAAATGTCTAAGATTTTGCACCTGTGAACTAGCAGAGATTGAAAACAGACATTTCATCAATTTCATTACCTCCTAAATGTCCCTAATGGAGATGATGTGTGTGGGTCATTGTCACTGTCTTCATAGTTACAGTTCAACTGTGTGTAAGGAATGCTCTGTGTATGTGCATCTGTGTATGTGTTTTCTTTTGGTCCTATTTTTATTCAGCATGCATGAGATGGAGCTAGAATAAAGAAAAATTGAAGAATGTTTATTAGAATGTCAGTACATGAGCTCGTTGAATAGAGCCAAACCTTATCACTTACCTCTATGTAATTGTACATGGATAGGTCTGAAATCGCATGGTCATCTGGAATTCTAAATCTTGAGAATTCAGGAAGACACATACCTAGAAACCAAATTAAATAATACATCTTTCCAAAACAGTCAGTAAAAAATGTGCTAGACTCTACACAATTCAAATTAAATGGTATGGTCTCTACTTAAATGTTCTCCCTACCCTTTTAAAACTATGGGCAACAAGGTTATGAATACTGAGCAATAACAAGTAGGTGTTTCCCACTGTGATTAAATAAAACTTATTATAAAGTTAGTATAATATGTACTAGATTAGAAAATCATTATTATTTATTTCACAAATGGAAAGCAGTTCATATAAGTGACTGCAAATGACTCCAAGTCCTCAGAAT